GCTAGACCCAAAGGACGATGTGTAATAGACTGATAAGCTGAAAATTGTTTTTGTGAGTTTCATTTTCAGTTTTTTAGTCGTTTTTATGAGTTTTCCCATGGAGTGAAAAAATTCAGCCAATGCGAGGGTGTTGCACAGCATTTGAATTTGTATTCTTGTTCCAACTTGCTTTGTGAATGTTATTAATGTACTTATCAGTGTCGTAGTACGAAAAGGTTGCGAATTTTTCAATTAATAATGTGCTTGTAATTGTTGAATATCACATTGATTAACATACAAGGAGGCTTAATCTCCGCTAGAGATACTTGGTAGGATGTGACATGGATAACGAAATACGCACGAACACATGGAGATAAGAGTGACACCTTACAGATAAGAAGTTAGCAGGATATCAACGTGATTCCATGTATCGATCATCAGACCACGTTTTAGTCGACCACCATCAATGAGGAAAAGTAGCACACATTTATCGGCGGTTCTAACTGTGTTTTATTCTTTGTTCTGCAATTTGCTTTATCGTTTCGATGGAACTGCATTATTCCAAAGATCAGATTACTCCTAAAATAAGAAGATCATGCCACATATGCGGACGCGTCGCTAATAGCGGCACTATGAGACGTTTGCGTCCGACATCAAGCGGTGCGTTCGTCGTAATGATAGCTGTCTGTCGTTGATCAGGTTAGTTGAGAAGGGGAATGTTAGCGCTGTGGTCAAAAATCTCAGCAAGACAAGAGAGCAAGTCATGACAGTAATCTGCCATTCACCTGCTATGAAAGCGGTGAGTTCGAAGCATGCAACTGAAAGAAACCTAGAACATGATAACCTATACAAAAATCGTAGAACGTGGAAATAATATCAATCGAGAGCAGTCCATTTATTCATATTCATTTTATCATAAAGAAAACAAAGGATCGAATGAAGAGAGAGAAGAGAGGAAAATCACGCAAAACGGCAACAGTCAGCTGAGTTTTTCACGCCATCGATTGATGGCCAGGAGATAGCAGTGTTGGCAGTAGACCAGCTCTTACGGACAACTCGTGGAAGACCTCGCTTCTCTATCACTGGCTTTTAATGATGAACTGAATGAAAAAGAGAGTCCTTCTTTGGGCTTCTTAGGCGGTTTCTCTTCCTTACTTCTTCTATCGATTCACTTAACATCCAATACTCCAAGTACAGAATCCCTAAATTTGTCGGTTACGGGGCAGTGGTCAACCAAGCGTGAGAGTCCAGACAGAAAAGCACATACTTTCTGCTCTTCTAGACGGCATTGGAAACCAACGAAATTTGTCCCAAATTTTGCCTTTACTGAGACTTTTGGGGCCCCTGTTACGCGGTGCGAACAAGCAGCTAGTGAGTATTGTAAGGACTTCGAGTTGGATCTCGAAGACAAGGACAACGTTTCATTGGACCAAACAGTGTAGGACCCCAAAATACGGCTGGAGACAGTAAACTTCTGTCCATGTGCCCCACATGTATCATGAAGAGCCGTTCAATGAAGAACGCCAAATGAAAAGGTGGCACTTACGGACTCGAGTTCACAGCGCATTTCTAAGCTGTCTTCTCGAAACATTCCTCTTGGGACCGAGCGTCCAAGCCGTACCGTTTCGAACTGGCCTCGAAGGGGTCGCATTTTGGTCGGAAGGGGGTCGCAATTTCGAGGACTGCCAGCCACAGGCGCGTGCGTGGCGTATCCGAGGGCAAGAATTGTTTGTGCAGACCGCATTAGATTCGATTTATTATGCACAGAGAGACAGTTTTAGGCAAATTACAGTGTTTTCTTAAGGAATAAAGAACAGTTGGATGCATCCCTATGAAAGGTTTGACTTCTCGGGCTGAAAACAAAAGTTCTTTGGAGACCTATTTTTTGGGGACGCTTCTTCCAATGTACTGTGAAACACATGTAAGGAAGCGGAAATCTCGTAGTCTTCACAAATGTCTTTATCCCTCTCCAACAAGCTCTTTGAAGGAAGTTATCATTGCTGAAAGCTCAAAAACTCGCATGTGCTGCTCAAAAACCCATGGGAACAAAATGTTCGAACGTGTGATTTTCTCGGAAAATGAACTTTGAAAAACGCTTAATGCTCCGGCTTGGTGCTTGTTAGAAAGAGGAAATCCTGTACTTCCACCAAATGAAAAAAGTGCATCTCAGAATTGAAAATGAAGTGAGCTATGGCCGCTGAAAGCCTAAAAACTCGCTTTTGCACGGAAAATGTTCGAACAGGACAATTTTTTGAGCAAGGGGATCAAACTAAAACTTTTAGCGTTCGATAGGCGAAATTTAAAGTATTTTCTGAAAAACTTTCCATCGCCCAAAGGTTGCACTCGATATATATAGACCTTACAAGTTGAAGGCGTCGCCCTTCTTCCGGAGAATTTTGGGTTTTTCTCATTCGTGGACGGAAGTATTTCCAGAGGTTTAGGCAATCTTGTAGTTTTCTGAAAGCGCCACCTCAAAAAAAAAAGGCCACAATCATAATGGTACCACTACTCAAAGTCACATAAGGTACGTACCACGAAAGTTGATTCCCCCTCATTTTAAAGATTTTTTCTTGCGCCGCGTAGGCCGTTCCCCCAAGCGCGTTCCGGCTCGCTTCGGTAGGACGCCCGGCGGTTAGCGGTCGTCAGCCCTGATACCTGCCGCGCTCCAAGGCTGACGCCGCAACGCAGACGCTTTCTGCGGCGGCGGCGCAGACGCTTTCTGGCGCAACGGATTCATGTCTAGCACTTATTAACAAAAACAGGGGGTCGCAACTGGACCCCCCTCGAGAGCTAGGGGTCGCAAAAATCCCGAAAATGTTCGAACGTGACGGTTGACCCTGGATCTGGCATGCTGTGCAGCGCTCTCGCGCGTTATACGTTGCACAGGTCGGCCGTTCCGCCGCCGCCGCCCGCTTTCCACTGGAGCCCGCTCGTTAACACGGATGGCCGCTAAATTTCGATAACAGCAGCACATCGCATGGATTTTTGGAGAGAAAACGGAGATTTCAATGCGGAGTTGTGCACGCCCCCGCAGTGAATTAAAAATGAATGCTAATGAGGTAAATCTTCCATTTATCCCTAACACGCTGCGGTGAATGGGACCAGTTCGCTCCTTTTCTCAGTCTGGCGGTCAGTTTGGGAAGTGGAGCTTGTTTTCATTTTGTTAGCGTTCAATGAATGTGATTTCCCGATTGTCTTTTATAAGCTGCATAGCCTTTGCCATTATTAACTTTAACTTTAATTCTGTGATCACACTGCAATTAAAGGCAAGGTCAAGGCTTGGGCCAAAACCAAATCCCCCGACCAAATCAATTCCTATCATCATCTCAGTGCGTGATTACGCACCCTTAAAGACGTTGTCGCGCTCAGAATCCTAAATGGCGCCGCAATAAAGCCGCAGGCGATGCATTGTTGGGCCGCCCACTTCCAGAAGTGGTGCGAGGCTGGCTAACGCGTGAAATCAGCTGGGTATCGTCACGGGTCCGTATCAACCGACGGCACAGAGCCAACCATGGCTCGGTATGTCCAAAGAAACTTGTTTGAACGTGCTTCTCACCCAAGCAGGCTTCTTTCACAGCTAGAAGGGGAGGGGTTTCGTTTTCGGCCTTGTCTACGGTTTCTTTTCGATTTTTCTCCACTGCCGTTCCGTTTCGCATCTCTACACTCATCTTCAGTTTCAAATGCCGTAATACCCCATATTGAGCCCGACCTTTGCCTTCAAGCACTTAGAGTGATGCTTTGTAGAAGTATTGGTTCTGAAAAGTTCAGAAGCTTAATGTGTTAGGTTTGGTGCTGAGTGTAGCCTTAATGCGTTCTCCAAAGAATTCATCACGAAACAAAAAGGTTCATAAACTCATGACATCATGCAATGCTTATAACAGCTTAGGCGCTATTACAAAACCCGCACGTTTTTCTACAGTAGTAATCTGAATGCCTTTCGTCTGACGTACAGAAGTTATTCTTTTTAATCGTGTCGCATTGATCCTGAGTAGCAAGGTCCCTGCAATCACAAAGGCCACAGCTTCGCGGGCAGCTTTTCTGAACTTCAAATCCTCCTTCGCTAGTACAATATCCTCCTGCAGCGAGCGCGGGACAGTCGTCAGACTTATCTTTGCAGTCTGTCTGAAAACATTTTGATTTACTTTATAAAGAATTAAAACATGCGTCGCAATTAGTGACGTTGCGAATAAAGCATAAAAGGCTTGGCAGCAGTATTTCTCTTTGGGACACGCCACGCATTCTGTAACACTTTTATAAGGGAATCATAAATTTGAATGCAACTCCGTCCATGCAATGACTTTGAGGTATACTTATTGCAAGATAACGGTTTTCCTCTTCCACACTGAATTAGTACCTATTGCAGTCGCTGAAGATTTGATAGCTTTGCTAGACAAGGCTCAATTCAAACCAAAGGTTTCATACCAAATGTGCCTTTCCCTAGAGCGCGAGTGTAGCGCTGAAGAAGTTTTGGAGCAGAACTGGCCTTCAGGCCGAAGAAGGAAACTTCGCAGACTTTAGGCGTTTTCATTGCCTTTTCATCTTTACTGCTGCAACGTCTACTACCACTCATTTCAGTTCCAACGACGAACAATTGTTGTATCATCTTCCTTCAAGGCGTTAATATGTGTACGTATAGAAATGGCAACCGCCAACATACCTTGAAAGCACCTTTGACTCCCACTACCGTTATAGCGTTGACTCCGTCATGGATTAGAAAGCCAAGGATGAAGAACAGGCAAATGAACGGAACAACATGCTTGAATGCTCTAGTTGTCCGTGCCTCGTTTTTATTTGGCTCGTAGAGTGCACTTACACGCACTTTTTTCATACATTTACATTATTCGCTAACTTAATATTACATTTATCACGAATGGAGGGCGTTTGTCAGGTAACAGACAAACACTCCTCACTCATTTGTTCGGCCGACATCATAGTTCGCAAACTATGACATCGGCCTTCTCTCTAGAAGTAGGATTCGGTATCACTGCCTGTATCACCCGTAATTCTGCTTACCGATTTTCTTTGAAGGAAGCGGTCAGGCTAGTTCCTACGGAGACGATAAGGAAACTTACGTACTGGATTGGGTAAGAGTTTTACCAGACACAACAGGTATGTTTCAATGGCAGTGGGGCCCTATGACAAGGAGCCCACAGGAATCCACTTTCGGGTAGCAAAAACAAATCCTTATAGATGTGGAAGACGCACTGCTGCGTACTAGATGTGATACCATTGTCGTTATCGCCCGATTTATTTCATTTTGGAGTGCACCTCATTCCAAGCACTCGAACTTATGGTATCGTATGTTCTATGGGGTTGCGCTTTCGTCCAACAACTAACCTCCGCTTCAAAAAGCGAGAAAGTGCCGGGTGCAGACGAAACGCCACAACTGACGACGGCTTCCAAGTAAATGGAATACAACCGCAACAGGCTAATCACTTCATTGGCAGAAAACATTAGCATTTTGTGAAGGCCGTCTTCACTTGTGGTGCGCATGGGTCTGCCCCTCGACACTGCTTCTTTTGAAGGAGAGGGTACTTATTTTAGACCCTGTCCGGCTTGATAACGCGAGGGTAGCAGATCCACGTGGAAGCCAGCGTGATCGCGAATCTTCTATAATCTTGATCTCCCAATCAAGAGATGCGTACCTGGAAAGTGGAGACATTCGCTCCATCGAGGTTTTTCCTTTAACACGTTGACGACATCGCGCGTTTTGTGCTTTTGCACCTCGTGGGACAAGAGCGATTTTGCGAGCGCAGCCGCCGCACACCAAATCCATGGATTTTAAGTTGTAAATCCGCAATACTTAGATGCGATGAAATGTTTTCAATGATGTTCGATCAGTCTAGCTTATCAGGAGTTACAGTAATGGAAGTTTGACCAAATGACGTGTTAAGGCCATGAAAAGGGAAATTTTACTTAATTTCCCTTTAGTGGTTCAAAATTAATTCGGACGTTGTTGTTTCAGTAAAAACACATATCATCCCATACGAATGGGTTTGTATTCACTTCTCTTATTCCTTTTTATCGACATGATTATGTTATTGAAAAGAAAACGAGGAATGAATTGAACAAACATATCCGTAAGGTCTGGAAAATCTCTGCCAAACTAAAGAATATTTGGCCTTTCTGTGAGCCATGTGGTTTTTAAGTATGCTAATGTATGACCTATAGAATGAGTACAAAGACCTTAGGAATAAGTCGCACAAGCGCAAGAAAAAGGGAAGACTTGGGTGGGACGCGTTACCGCGTCACAATGTCCCACGAGGTGCGCAAAGTGGGACGCGTTACCGCGTCACGCTGTCGTCAACGTGTTAAGGTTTGTTTTTGGCAAATATGAGCATCTTAAGGACCAAGTGTTAAGGATATGGTGCTTGCAGCAAATAGTCACATTTGGGCGGTTGGCAAAATCTCTTCGAATCTTCTATGTGATATTTCTCCATTGGAAAAGTATGTGCTCAAGCTGGCAAACATATTTTATTTTTGTATTTTACAGTAGGATACTTTCCGATTGGAATGAATCACACTTGACGGTTTCTCCTTTCCGTCTCAACCTGGCGATGAGTTTCTTTGTGCGCTGCCACTCTTCATGTTTACGCAAGCACTGCAGTGATGTTAATCCACAGCAGCTTCAAAGCAGCGTCACAAACACAATCCGTGAGAGAATCCCCTCCTCTTTTTGAGCAGTTAGAACACAATCGCCAACAAATCAAAATACACAATTGAACTCGTTTCTAGATAGAAAAAGGTGTCCCGTTTTAACCGAAGAGTAGTCACCCATAGTAAATTTAAAAATTCAATATGTGTACCAGCGCAAGGACATATCTTTACATGGGAGATCATTGCATTTGCGCTTTCAGAGGCCGATCTCAATTGTCAACTTTTCAGGCTCTGAAGAAGGCAGAAAGCCGAAACGCTTCAGTAAAATATAAATCTGTTTTCAATGCGAAGATTAAAAGAAAGTCGATCGTGGGGTGTACTACAAAAGGCGCCAGTTGAGCGACTTGTGAAGGAATTTCTGTCCTTGGAGCAGAAAGCCGTCGCAGCACGAACATCGTGTCTTATGCTTACAGGTTTGGGTTACCCACCTCCACAACACGTTATTTCACTCAAGACTAATACTGATGAGAGCCGATACAAGGCGTCGCACGCAAGTGTTACTGACTCGTCATGCCCTTCGAGTTGACAGTAGAACGTTCAACTCAATAAGAAATCATGACCTACAGAAAATTTTGCAGTTCTTCCCAGACGATTGAAGCTTGAAGGCCTAGCGCGAGAAAAGGAAAAATTACGGCGGATTCTTGTCCAGCCTTTCTGACTTATTGGTCGCTCCGACCCTATCGATGGCGCTCCGTGATTCTTTTTATGCACAGAAGAGGCAAGAGACTGGACATGAGATTTTGTAGGAGATTCTGCGTCCTTCATGTATACCCCCGTCATCGCCCAAACAATTGAAGATTTTCAGACTCTATTCCTCCCAAGTAGCTCCGTTTTCACTGAGGTACTCTTGGATTAGCTACAAGGAATTTTTGATTGAAAACAAATGGGTTTTTTCTATAACACACGGTAGGCGCTTTGAGGAAAGTTACGGATGGCGGAGTGGTGAATAACAAGGAAATAAATGAAATAGGAAAACATGTTTGCTGTTTGTCCGTTCGTCAGGATGTTTCTATGGCCCAAAAGTGCACATCAGTGTACTTTGAGAAAATCTTTTTGGTTAAACTCCTATTTCATTTAGTTCCTTGTTGTCCACCGATCTGTCATCCGTGACTTCCCACCGTGCCTTTATCGCAAGAAGAAACCCCACTTGTTTTATTCTATCAAAAATTGCAGGTGGTAGATGTTGATAACAAGGAAACAAAACATGTTACCAAACCAAACTCACTTCTTACGGAGTCAATGCTGCATACAAAAATGCATATTAAACTATTTTCCAATTATCAATTCGTTTGGTATACGAACATTTAAGCTTGAACATATCTACACTAAAATTTTGGTTGAAGAACATTCGCCTCCTGCTGAGCAGAATGAGTAATGTTTGTTACTGTTCGCACACTTTCCATGAAGAGGGCGGAAGTGGTGTAGTGGACAAGTGGCGCGCTTACCACGCGAGCGGTCCGGGGATCAAATCCTGGGTCGTGAGTCGCCCGGGCCAACCAAGCCTTCCATCCCTCCGGGGTCGGTTAATTGGTACCAGACTTGTCTGGGAGGATAAAAACACTGACTTGTACATCGGCTGGCCCCCGCAAGTCATTGTATAGGCCACATCGCATTCAAACGCCACTACGAATGTACAAAGTAGAATGCGTGCCGCATCCCAAAAAGGGATTGATCAACGGCAAATGCTTTATCCTTTATCCTTGTTCCGTAGTGTTTGTCACTTTCATAGACTCAGCGTGCAATCTGAAAAACTCCAGGACTGCATGGGAAATTTCGAAGTACGTACATTCATAATCAGCTTCCGTTGCCCAAATTGCGCGATTAGGGCGCTAATCCTTACGAACCTGCAACCATCGACCCTCGCTGCAACGCTTCCCACCCACCGCTATTGATATAGAGATCAGCGTGCTCTCTCGAACGGCGTGCTCTCTCGCGTGTTTTGTCTTCTTTGATCGTCCTCTCTCGCCATCGTACACATCCGACGTTACAGTAAAGTTACATACACAACACGTTAAACAGTGTGCAGGAAAAAAGCTGATTTAATGTAATAGGATGTAAATCTCCTGTTCTGCATTTGTCCAAAGAGTTTATTGCATAACAAAAAAATGCATCAATGAAATTATAACAGCGTTCAAGTCGACGTTAGCAGCCTACTAGGCCCTATCACAAAATCCGCAGGTTCTAGCACAAAAGTAGTCGGAATGATTCCTGTATCTAAAACAGTGGCTGACGTTGCTAATTGCTTCGCAAACATTTCGAGGAGCAAGATCTCTGCAGTCACACAATTTACAGCTTTCCGGACACATTTTTTGAACCGCTTCTCCGTCGATGCTATGACAATGACCCCTTGCAGCAAGTGTGGGACAACTTGTGTTCTGATCTTTGCAGTCTGTCTGAAAAAAGAAACCAGACTATTTTTCTAATTATGAGATCTTCCTTCTAATGACTCCTGAGGATAAATTTAGAATACACTAGCTCCTGCCCTCTTGTTTCAAGTCACGCACTCTATTTCTTTATGGAATTATACGAGCATTTGTGCTTTGGTTCGAAAAAAGCTTGTGATTTAAAATGCAAGGGTTCATCCAACCATATGAGGCAGGTACCTATTGACTGAGGCCGAAAGGACGAAGGGCGAAGCTGGCCGCAAGCTGCTTGCCGCAATACCACTTCCGCGAAAGGGAATGACTAGATCCCTAACCTAAAAGGCATAAATGAAGCTTTTTTTAGAAAAATATTGTAATGTATCTGATGAGCTCCTTCCTCCAACTTCCGTTTGTTGTGTTTACATCAAAAACAACTTTCGTTGTGTTTACATCGAAAATTGCACACTTGAATTTCAGGGTTGAAATGGCAAGGACTTTCCATGCAACCAAATAGTTACCTTTCGACTGACAAAAAGCCCGAGTTTGAGTTTAGCCCTTTGCCTGCATCTATATGTTGGGTAGTCCGTGTTAGTAGTTCTGAAAGCCTCCACCAATTGTGATAGTTTCGTTTAAATGCTTTATCTCTGAAACGCTTCCGTCAATCTGCTGAATGTACACATATCGTTTCAGAGCGTGTTCCTTGCTCTATCCAACGTTGTTGCCATCTTTGCTTTCAAGCAACTGTTGCCGCTTTTTCAAAGCCTTGATAGGTGCCTATTCAAAGGGCGATTTCCCCCTTGGTTGGTTTTCAAACACGGTAATCAGGGTGATTATAAAAGTTGAAGGAGTCCTTGGATAGGATAGGTGTCCTTTTCAGGATTGGGAGAAATTACATAGAACTGAAAGTGTGACTGTGGTGGGCGACCTGCCAATTATACTCTATGGAAAACTTCCTTCAGAGGGATCGGAACAGTTTTGAGCTCGGCCAGTGTAAAGATTGACCCTGCTCCTTAGACCGGCTGAGAGAGTAAGGGCACGAACCTGGAGTATACCTTTTTTAAAGCTGCAACGACAACACAACTTACGAGAATGGTAAATAAAAGGCATTAATAGAAGGAAGAGCAATTTCTAATTGCTCTTCCTTTCTAGCAATCGTTCACTGCATAGGAAGACCTTAGAAATTGCCGTGAACCGATTCTCTTTACACGACGCCTTCGAGTGTCCCTTATGACAGGGGGAGCTTACAACTGAACTATTCTATTAAAAGGCCGTTGTCGGACCTCAACATTATTGTTTGTACTTTTTCAAAATTTTATTGTTTGTAATTTTTTCAAAATTTTCTTTGAAGGAGCGTTAAAAAGTAGTTTAGTCTTGTAAAAGCATCAGGCGAAAACCACTGCAACTGAAATGTTCGAGTTGCACACTGACTTGTACATTGGCTTCCCCGCTATTCATTGAATAGCCCAGATCGCCCTCAGAACTCTGACTGGAGGTCAAATGCTCGCAGCATCAAAAAATTAATTTATCAGCGTTGGAAGCTCAGTCGCTGACAAAACAGTTCCTATCACACATGATTAATATCTTCACCTAAAACTTGCATGCTTCGAGGTAGATGGTACTATATCGAACAGGATGTTGAAGCAGGAAAATTCTGCTGCTAAAAGGGAATTCGGATCCCTGAAGGGCTCGTCTAGAAGAGTTGTTCGCATAGCAGTGCCCCGTGCCACCTATCAAAGCCTGGCCCGTGATGACGGCCGCCTTCCTGGCCGATTCGTTATCCAGATGAGTTATTGGTTGGTTTTGAGGCATCAACAGTTAAGGCAAGAGAGAAAAAGAGACGCAGAAGAAGCGTTCTCATAGGCGCGTCATGTATCGTAGAAGATCGTTCAGCGCAAATTCAACAGGCTAAAAAGCAATTAAATTTCGCGGATTTTGAGCTCATTTCGAGTTTTTCTTCATCATTACATGTCATCATTCGTCCATCACCTCTCAACTGGTTTCCAGCGATGATCAATTTGTCGTAACAGCCGCATTCAAGCCATAAGAAAAAACAAATGATGTCAAGATCACAACCAACCTACCCAAATTTTGCCTCGAATTCCTACTACCCATATAGCGTCGACTGCGTCATGGATTCCGTCATAGATAACAAAGCTGAAGATGAAGAACAGGTAAGCGAAACCAAACAGCATGTTTGAATATTCTTTTGTCGATACCCTGCTTATATTTGTTTCGTAGAAAGCACTTGTGTGACTTTTTCCAGCACTCACATGTTTGGTGGCCTGTGATGTTTAAAATGTGTCGAATATCA